AATTAAAAATTTTTTAAAGTAAACAGGTGCTGAAAGATATAAAATTATGTTGGTAGCATCACATAGCTCATCAGTGGTGAACCAGGATCTGAACTGGGAAGTTTGTTTTCCCTTCTATTTAGTGACTCAGGAGTAAAGTCATCTGCTGTCATTGAGATTTTCACTCTTAGAAACTGTAAGGGCATTTCAATACTGTTCTATACATTGTTTATGGAATAGTTTAGATAAAGATTAAGACAAGCTAGATAAGGATTGACCTTAACTTTTAAAAATTGAGTTTAGGACCTGGCTATACTAGGTTTATACTGTTTTCTTCTGCCTATTGTTATTGATATAATGATTGATAAAAATTATTATTGGGAAGTGTAAGTGTAGAATTTGTAAGCTGTTTCAGCCATCAATTTGAAATCTTCAAATGGGTTAGGACATTCTTGCAAAGAAGACTCTGAAAGGATAAGCCCCACCCAGTTTCTTGAGCACTCAGGACATTCAAAGATGAAGAGACCTGCCTAGGATGCTGTTGACAAATTTAAAAAAAATTAAAAAAAGGAAAAAGGAACCCTATGGTTTTTTAAATTTTGAACAAGTGGTTTATGCCCAGAGATGGAAAAATCTGGAGCCCTGAAAAAACTCCTTTCTAGGACTAAACTGCTAAAGGAAGCTTTTGGGCAGGCTGAAATGCTTGCTAGGTGACCACCTGGATCCACTTATTGAGTGGCAGTGGGAGAAGTGCAGCAATAAAGATATGGGTGGAGTCTGGCCACTAATACCGGTGGACCTGGTTCACCAGAACTAAAGAAGACGAGCGCCAATTGACTGGTCTGAAGTTCATGACCTAGCACAAGGAGGCTAGGGTTGTTGAGAATTTGTGACAGTGCCTGTGGTGTAAAGGTGAGGTGACCAATGGGTACCCTGGTGAGGCTAAATGAGGCGGCACACATTGCATTGACACATTGAGAACCCGAAAAGATGAAGAGAAGATTTTAGAGCCTGTGAACTTGTGCACATTACTGCTGACTTTATGGATGGCCTGTCCTGATTTGAATTTGCTGATGGACGCAGACTTACAAAGTTCCAACTGGAATGAAGATTCTTCATATCAAAGAATATTATTGTCTCCTCAGAGCACTGCATTGATGTAAATGGGCAGTATAGAAATTGGATGCCCAAAATTGGGCAGAAAAAGTGAAGTGGCTGGCTTACAAACTTCCATAGCTGGGGGAATATATTCATAGGATTAAGGTAACTGCAATTGTTAAACATAGAATATTGTTTTGTTCACTTTTAGAATATTATGTTTAAATAAGAATAGCACCTATTGAATGGTGTGCTTCTTAGTTTTATCCTTTAGGTACAGATATGATTTTATTATTGTTTTGTTAAAATTATGTATGGCTAAAGAGTTGTGTAAAAGCGTCAAGTTGACAAGGGGTGGTCTGTGGCATTTACATAGTCTCCTGTCAACTTGCAAAGGGGTGGAGTCTAGCCTGTCAATCATGTCGCAGCTTGGTGACTTCATTTGGAGGCAGGAAGGAGATAAATAGCTCACTGCAGGCCAGACCCACACAGACATACTCTGCTTCGTCTTCCTGTTGATAAGACACATTGAGCATTGCTGATGACAGCCAGAGTTTTGGAGCTGGAGGAGCCATGTGGAGACCCACACCAGCACTAAGACCCTTCCACCAACACTGGATCCATAAGACTTTCTATCCACTGGCCTATGATCTTCCTGCATTCAGCATCATTGCTTGGCTGCGTGAGTCTAAAGAGGAATTTATGGACAAGTTTTGACATATGGAGTAATATCGGACGTATGCACTTGATCTGGACTGGGCTGGAATGCTTCCTTAATGTACAATTGCTGTTTGATATAAAGTTCCCTCTTACACACGAGTGTCTCTGGATTTGTTTCTCTAGTCAACCTGGACTAACACAACTTGGTAGCAGTCAATTTATTTACTAGTGGCACAGTGGTTAAGTTGACTAAAAGGTCAACATTTTTAACCCAATCTCTTCAGGAGAAAGATTGAAATCTGCTCTTGCACAGATCTACAGTCTTAGAAACCGTATGGAATCGGTCTCTTCTGTCCTATAGGGTTTCTATGCGTCAGACTAGATTCTACAGCAATAGGGCGTTTTCTTCGTCTGCTTTCTTCAGTCACTCTGCTAACTTTAATACGGTTATTTTTATATTAGTTTGATGCTTCCCAGAATAAAAGAAGTATGGTGTGATTCTTATCCTATTTATTCTTCTGCTAAACACACTAACATTTATGTATGTGTAAATATGCATTATATGTGTGTGAGATAATGTCATACGGTTAATCAGTGGTGAGCACACATACGCGTTTGGGAGTGTGAGTACATATGGGTAGCTCTCTGTGTGAGAGAGATCGGAAAGCAAAAGCCCCCTGGGTAAGAACTCTATTCTATATGTCATGGCAGACATGATTTGGACTCTTGAATGGCAATAGAAGTAGCTGCTATACTTGATTTGATGTTAGCAATATCACTGACCTCATGCCTACTTGAAAGGTCTTTGGAGTATAGGAGGATAAGTGTTGGACTGTTAACTAAAACATTGTCCATTCCAACCCACCAGCCTACTTTAGGAGTCTCTGTCTGGTTGAAATGGCCAGCTCCTCAAGTCCCCAGTGAAAGGTCAGGAGTTTGAGCCCATCTGCGAGTTTTTTTATCAATCACTACAAGATAAAGATGTGATTGTCTGCCTTTGAAAGAAAGTCTCAGGGATCGGCTTCCTAAAGTATCTGCTGCCTTGTAAACCATATGGAGCCCCGTTCCAGCCTGCAACAAACAGGATTGCCATGTATATACAAATGTGGAATGGGGCCTTCCAAAAAGTCCATGGAAAAATTCCATTATCTTTTAATTCAATTTTTCCAAAATTTTTTGAAGCCCGCTCATATAAGCCCCCAGCCTCTACTTTCCCACCAAAAACAAACAAGCAACAACAAAACAATACACCACAATTAACTATCATTGATGATACTAGAATAACACAACCTAAAAAAAGAAATTTAAATAAATACTCTTAAATTTGTCACAGGTAGAAAGCAGCACCATACCATAAAATATTAAATCTGCTTTGAGCCCAGCACAATATCTATATTAGTGTCATGAGAGATTTCTGGCAAATTTACAAGAATATGTTGTAGTATATTAATCCAGGAGGAGAAGAGAAAGCCAAGGAATTGAAATTAGTGATCTATATTTAGACAGTCAGCTCATTTGAACACTGCCCCAAACCAGAAAAAGACACTCCATATGGAAAACACCCAATTAGGGGAACGAGTGGTGAAAGACACAAAGATTTAATAAATAGTTGAAACTGTCAGTGAACTATTAACAATTTCTAAGTATTTATTGAAACCATCTTTAAAAAACCATCTTAAGATGAAAGTGAAAATTGAGTCATAAAACCAAGAAGTCAAATGTTCTCTGCTAAAAAACGCTGATGCCTAAAGAAATCCCTATGATGCTCACCCTCCTGACATGATCGTTGAAGACAAAATGGGTGCATATGCAAACGTGGTAAAGAAAGCAGATGGTGTCCGGCTAGCAAAAGATACAGCATCTGGGGGTCTTAAAGGCCTGAAGTTAAACAAGCAGAGAAACAACAAGTCCACGTGGAAGAAGCACACCAGCCTGTGCGATCAAGAGGTGTCGGCGAGATCAGGTAACAGACATCAGAAGACCCAAATCAAACAATAACAGAAAACATACCGTTGCGAACAAGTGGGGGTCAGAGCAGAGACCCCAAATTAATCTGCAGACAACAGGACATCCTCTCACAGACGGGTCACAGGAAAGGGATGAGTCAACCAGGGGGCGGTATAGAACCAATGAAACACACAATATTCCTCTGGTTCCTTAAGGTTTGCTCACCCCCCACTATCATGACCCCACTTCTGCCTTTCACTGTGGGGTAAACCGGAGCATGTGCACAGGTACAGATAGGAGGTAAGAACTCATGACACACAGAATCCAGAAACAGGAATGGGGGTAGTGATACCAGGAGGGGAAGGGGAAGGTGGGGAGAGGTGGGGAGGAAGAGGGATCCAATCCAATGATCCCCACATAACCACCCAACGACCCCTCACTCCAGAGGAGCGAACAACTGAAACCATGGGGGAAGAGAGACAGGGGTCAGTGTAGGATATGAAAATAATGATAGTTTATAATTTATCAAGGAGTCGGGGCTCGGGGTGGGGGCTGGTACTAAAGACTCAATAGAAAGTAAATGTTTAGAAAACAATGATGGCAACACATAGAAATATGCTTGATACAATTGATGTATAGATTGTTATAAAAGCTGTAAGAGCCCCCAATAAAATGATCTTTTACTACTACTAATAAAGACCAACAAGCATGTTCATATAGCATGCACCAAACATGGATGATCTACTTGCATATTATGGATTTACAGGAGTCTTCAATATGAATTAGGTGATTAACAATAGTTTGTGGTGTCTATTATGAATCTTTTGCATCCTTCTTTAAAGTATACCGTATCTCTTTGGAAAAACCTTAGAATATGGCTGGGAAATCGTATACAACTGTGATCTTTATGACAGAAACATTGAGGTTCATAAATTAATTAATAAGAATTAAAAGCTAGAAGGGAGTGATAGGGTAAAAGTACATTGCTCTTAGAGGGTAGGGTATAACTGCCTTTGTCAATGGAGACCAAGTTACTGAAAGGTTTCAAATGAAAGATTCTGTTGCCAAGTTGACAAGTTTTATGTTCAATGTAGCTTTTTAAGCCATCTTGCCTTTCTAATATTCTCTTGGCAGGAAAGGGAGTGTTTGTTTTGTCTGCCTTCAAAGTCTCATGAAAGTCATGCTGGAATCATATCCAAAAACCTGTGCCGTGTTTCAGTGTGACCTTGGACTTTATGAGGGAGCTGCTCTTGCAGGATGCATTTTTAAGAGAGTGGGGAGTGGATTCTCCTGTGGGAGTCAAAGAAAAACCTCACCTGGGTAATCATTCTTGTCTATGTCTGCATCTCCTCTTATAGTGAAACCAAATCCTGAAGGCATGGCGTGTGAGGCCCAAGCTCCTTTCAGAATTTGGGAAGGCGTAGTGTTTAATCCATGCTTGTTTCCATTGTAAATGAGCACTTTGCCTTCTTGGTCCTCGCTTGCAAAGGGCACCCCGATTGCAATGTCTGTAAAGAGAGACACACAAAAATCCTCTTTAAAAAATAATAAGGGAGAATATTTTACAAATAGAATTGTGTACAATAAAAGAGCAGTGTCAGACATCCAAAGGGCTTATTAATTTTCCCATGAAAACTCTGTCACACTGCAGCAATAAAAAATGCTTGTTTTCTTTTATCCACGCAGTAAATACTTGTTAACTACCTCGTATGTGCGGGATGCAGTAAACAAGACACTCAAGAGTCCCTGCTTTTAAGAAGAGGACATTCTGGTGCAAATGAAAGGCAGTTTGGATGAAGGCATTATCCAGAAAATACGAATAAATTTATAAATGCTACACAAAGAATTCACAGCAGAGAGAGAGAACCAAAGGTGGCTGGGTTGTTCTTTTATTTCTTTAGTAATCATTTTGGGGGGGGGAAATCTTACAAATCTTATAATAATTCAGCATCCGATTGTATGAAGCACACTTGTACCTGTTGCCATCAACATTTCCAAACCATTTTCTTTCCGCTTGCGTCCTTGGTTGTTAGTTTAGATTAGTTTGTCAGACAAGGCCTCTCTGAGGTTGACACTTAAAGTGCAATCCGGAGGGGGAAGAAGAAACTGACTTTGTGACGCGGAAGAAAGGTGTGGCAGTCTGCGTCTCTAAAGCGATCTGTCTTGGGCACCCTATGGGGACATCCTACTCTTAGTGTCAGAACTGAGGTAAGGGTAGTGAGCTCAGTTAGGGTGGCCCTTTGAGAAGAACATTTTGAGCAGAGGGAAACACCAGTGCAAAGTGCTGAAACGGAAATAGCTTGGGCCATTCACTGAAAAGCAGCCATCGAGCTGTTCGACATGAAGTCTTAGTGAGAGATGGGCGTTAACTCATAGCGCTTGTTAAACCAGCTGAGGTGCCTTGGCAGCTTAGTGAAAGAGTTTTGACTTGCCAGCTTGTTTTTGTTTGTTCCTTTGTTGTTGTTTTAAACATCTTTCCCTGACATGATACAATGACAAGCCAGAGGATTGCTTCTAGGGCGCCACTTCGTGTATATATACAGTTTATTCCAAATAAAACATGTCTTCGCATGTCTCTGCAGCCTGCGATTGGCTGCAGGCAAGTTCTTTCAGTAATAACACTTGTCTTAGTCCCATTGTGGTGCCTTAAAAATAACAGGGCCACTCGCAAGAGTAGTGTCCTCGGGGATGTGCTGCACCAGTTCCATACAAGGCAGAAAAGTAAGTTCATTCAGC